TGGTAGCAGCTAGTAGTAGGTCGTCGACATACACTACAAGAAAACACACTTGCCCCTTTTCCTGGAAAACGTATAGGCATGTTTCCGCATCTAAGCGGGTGAATCTGACCTCTCCCAGTTTTCGATCTAGAGTCTTGTTCCATGTCCGGCCCGCTTGTTTGAGTCCATAGAGTGAGCGCTTGAGTTTCCAACAGTATCCCGGCTGGATGGGTACCCCTTCGGGTGGTAGCATGTATAACTCCTCTTCTAGTTCACCATTCAGGTATGCGGTTGACACATCCATTTGATCTAGCTCGAGGTCGTGTTTTGCGGCGAGGGATAGGATGATGTGGATGGACTTGAGGTTAGCAACGGGTGCGAAAACTTCCTGGTAGTCTACTCCTTCCTTCTGAGAGAATCCGCGGGTGACTATCCGCAACTTGTACCATTCAACATTTCCGTTTTGGTCTTTCTTGATGTGGAAGACAGGCTTGGAGGTGATCGGCTTGACGCCTTCAGGGATTGGGACGGTTTCATAGACTTGGTTTTCGTTCAGGCTGGAAAGCTCCTCCTCTAGAGCCGATTTTCATAATCCTCCGTCCGGGCGGATAAAAGCTTCTGGTAATGTCTTGGGGAGATTGTCTTTGGATGGGCCCGTGGCTGCTACACCAGCAAAATATATATCATCCGGATCTATGGCGTCAAAGGTTGTATGACTTGCATCCAGCAGTTCAGGTTGGCCATCCGAGTGTTCATCTGGTGCACTTGTGTCCTCGTGCAGTGCGGGCGGATCCACGGGTGCTTGGCGGCGTGTGGCTTCTTCATCCAAAGTCCGTTGGTAGTCGTGGTTTCAATCCCAAGGTCATGTAGTGTGGGTGCTGCGTCGGACCCCAGCTACTACCTGTGTGGGTCGTGCGCAGTTTGGAGATGGTGATCGCATGCGTGGTGCGGAACCCATAGCCTCTGAGGCTTGTGAATCTGGATTGATCGACAAGTTGTCTAGCTTTGTGCATATGTCTTCGACATCCGATTCCATCTGTGCTCCCACTGCGCCTAGTTCGACCTTCGGATGGTGCGCGGATGTGGGTGGATCTGTCAGATCCGGAGGATGTATGGCTGGAGCCTGCGGGAGGTCTATGCAATGTCGTAGAGGAGGTGGATCATCATCCATATGGTCTAAGTCATAGTTGTAGACATGCGGGACTATACCCTCCCACTGCTGGACTTATGGATGGACGTTCCAAGGTGCATAATCATCTGGGGGAACTTGCGCAGTTTCATTGAAGATGACATGCCGACTGGAGAATATGGTGCACTTCTCGAGGTCTAGGAGTTTGTATGCTTTCTTTCCGTAGGCATATCTGAGCATGATGGCTTTTCTCCCTTTCAGATGGAACTTCCCTCCACACTTGTCCTTTGGTATGAGCGCATATGCAGGGCATCCAAAAGGTCGGAAGAACATGGGGTCTACACGTCTGTGGAAGAGATGTCCATATGGGCTATTGCCCTTCAGACCCATGGCTGAACTCTGAGCGGTGATGTATGCCACAGTGAGCATGGCATCTGCCCAGAACGACTTTGGCAGTTTCGACTCTTTGAGCATTGTGGTTGCGAGAGTACAAAGTGTTTGGTTCATCCGATCCATGAGGCTGTTCTGTTCCGGGGTATCTGCAGCTGTGGTTTCCTGGATGATTCCATCTGTGCGCATGGTATCCGATATGGTGTGTCCGGTGTACTCACCTCCACCATCGCTTCGGATGAACTGAGTGTAGAATGGGGTGAAATGTTCCTCTTTTACTTCTGCACGGAAGAATGCCTGGACATCCGCTTTCCAAGTCTTGTACTGCTGATGCACGTTGCTCTTCCGCTTTAGTAGGTGAATCCATGGGAATTTGGAGAAGTCGTCGACAATGACCATCCAGTAGCAGAAGCCCTCACGCGATATCGGGGTGATTGGTTCGCCTACATCCATATGAATAATTTGGATTGGGCGTTCCGCGCAGTTTCCGCTTGTGGGTGTAAAGGGGAGTTTCTTCAGCTTTCCAAGGACGCATGGTTCGCAGAATTCAGGGGTTCCGGTGAGAGTGTCTATACCCTGTAACCGACCTTTTGCTACCATCCGCTGTATCTGATCCATTGAGATGTGTCCCATCCGCCGATGCAAGAGGTTGATATCTACTGCAGCATTCGCTTGGTCCAAGCTGGGCATGGGCTTTCCTTTGATGTGGTGAAGTCCGCGTTTGTGATGCGCAGTGAGTACAATGCACGACCCCTTGCGGATTTCGCAGATGTCGGATTTGGCGAGGAAGCTGGTGGATAGACGCGTGCGCCCGATCTTGTAGACAGATATGAGCGATAGGGTGAAAACCGGTACTAGGAGGACATCCGACAGTGCTATGTCATACTGCTTAGTTCCTACATGCGTGCGGATGATGACTGTGCCGATTCCAACAGCATGGACAGTTGAGTCACCTCCAAAACTAATGCGACGCGGCGGGTTTAGTACTCGGAATGATCTCGACTCGAACCATCCTCTATGTGGGACCATATGCGACGTTGCACCCGAGTCTACAATGATGGCGGATCTGTCACGCGCAGGGGATGCAAGGTAAGCTTGAATGCGCTTTGCTAAGGATTTAGAGATATGTATGCATTCGAAAGTAATGTGGCTCTGTTTGTCCATGCTAGAGTTTGAGTCTGAATCCGTATCTGCTTTCGCATCCACTTTCTTCGCTTTCTCCTTCTTCTTTTTCTTTTCCGCTTTCCACTTCATCGCACAGCAGTCACTGGTGTTGTGCGTGCTGTTACTCTTGTGAAGCTCACACCACATCTTGGTCTCAGTGCTTTTCATCGTCGATGCAGGCGGATCGGATGCGGTATCCGTTGGATGGCGCGCGACTTCCACTACAATGCGGGTTTCCACATCATTAAAGTTAGCTTTGATTCATTGATGGTATTAAGGATGGATGATGTGAAAGTCTTCCAATCCGGTGTATCCGGGAGCGAGCAGAGGAGGGCAAATGCGATGAGCTTCATATCAATGGTGAACTTCATACCCGCTAGGCGGGTCTCCAGGTTTCGGAAGATGGAGATGTGGTCTTCGATAGCGGATGTGCCATCCCAGTGTAGGGCAAAGAGTTGCTCAAAGGAGTAGAATGCGGATATGATGTTGGAGGTGTTGTGGATCTCTATGAGTTTGTCCAGTAACCCTTTGGACGTCGCTTGGGATGCGGTTTTGAGGAGTAGCACATCGGATATGTGACCTTGGATGATTCTGAGTGCTTTGTCATCACATAGTACCCATGCAGTGACCAGGTCATCTGCGGATGTGGATGTAGTGAGTGCGGATGCAGAAGAGGGTTTCGGCTCTTCACCGGTCGCAACACAGAGGACTTTCTCGCAGCATAGCTTAGCATAGATGTGTAGTTTCCAAATCTGAAAGTTGTTTGGTCTGGTAAGGACAGGACAAGCGGATGTATCGCTTGTGGAATGGGATTTTGTCATGATTGACGATGGACGCGGATTTTAACCCTCTGCAGGTTGGGTGAGTCGTTCTGAGGTCGATCTGGCTAGTTGGCGTAAGCAGGGCTCATAACCTGACAAAACTTTGAGTGAAGCGGATGCAATCTGTCAGTACCCTAAGCGACGCGGATCGGGTCCGCGGATACACCTAAGTAAAGCGGATAGGATCCATACTACTCTAGATTAGCTACACTGTGGTATAAATGAATGTAAGTGAAGAAATACCTCAGCCGCTGCCAAAGGAGGCGATAAAAACGACTGAGGGAAAGTATGTACCAAAGCACCTCTGATATATGGGCAAAAACCCGCTTGCTAACCAACCATGCGTATCGCCTATGAGTCCATGACTTGTATCGAACGCACTCACTATTACATGTACACCTGAAACATTCTGAAACAATCTGATGCACCTTATTACGTATCCGAGCGCATGCACTTGCATCCGGTGTAAGGAGCAGATTCCACTACGACCTCAGCGCAATAATGGCCAATTCAAGTAGTGAGCCTAAAATGTTCAGTTCGACCCGAGGGAAGCAGAACAAAGCAAACCGAATTGCTGCCTCAGTATATAATACGAGGGGCGCGACAACGAGTCAAAGGGCAGCTGATCCAATATGTGTTCAGCGTAAACAGTTACCCATAAAGCCGACCGACTATAATTTCTACCGATCGCTATGCGGTGCGCGAGCGAGTGCAGCCGACTTAGATAGGTGATGAGGAACAGAAGTTTTTTTTTTTTAAGACGAACGTGCGGACGGACACGAGAATAGGATCAGAAGAGAACGGAACACAAAAGACATGGCTTCTGAGTGAGAATTAACTGAATTGCAATAACGGGCGAGCGCTCCTTAAGTACAAAATCGGCTACTAGGTAAAAAATGGAGATAATCATCGCTTGGGATGTCTGGGCTGCCTCGTGGTTTGCTAGAAATGTATGTGGGACATGCGGTCGATCGTCCGTGATATGCACAGGGATATGTGAGAGTAAATCGGTCTGAGCCGCTTAAGGCGATGTAATAGGGAGTTTGAGAGGTAAAAGTACTGTATCTGTCAAATAAACCAAAGAAGAATATACTACGCACCAATGGACAAGGATTTTATGGATATGGGGTTCGACTGAGTATCTGTGAGCTAGAAAGGCAAAACACGCGCACGACCGACCAATGGTGCGCGTTAATTCATTGTCGGCCGATCTGCTTGTGTGAGCGGCTTGAACACGCATGGGCGGGAGTTCAATCAGCAAGGAGTCGGATAGAGCGCGTGGGGTCGGGTGAATATTGCAGTGGATCGGTACATCAAGGGAGTACCATGTCGGTGCCGATCTGCGTCCTACATCTCCCAGGGACTTTGAACGCTGACTGTCCTCAGTCAGTCACGTGACTTGAACGGATGCTGATGCAAAGAAGTCGAAGAATTGGAGTTTCCGCACCGAATGCGGCTTTATAAAACGCGCGCTCGTTTGTTTCCCATGGCAACCGTCTTTTTCAACTCTTTCCAACATGTCTTTCTCTATCTCTGCCCTCAACCCCTCTTGCTCGTGCCCCGACATTGAACTTAGGGCAGATTGGGACGGCATTTGCCAGCGCATCAAGGACGAGGCTGACTGTATCCCGGACGACAATGAGTTGCTTGAGGAAGAACAGGCCGATTGGTTTCGGAGGTGGATGGGGCTCATGGTGCGTGGTATATGTGGTTCGTCTAGCATTTTGACGATCGACCTTAGGATCGTGCGTGTGCGGCAACCAAGATCGCGAACTCTTCTGGAACGACTCTGTCATTTGAAGGCGATGTCCAAGGCGTGGAGAAGCAGGCGGAAATCTGGCAAGCGCGCTTTCGGCTCAAAGTGCAAGGGGCCACGTTGAAGAGTGCAGCACCGACAAGGGAATCTGCCACGCCCGTGGACGCCGATGTCGAGATGACTGCTGAGGCGGAGAGCGTGTTGGCAGGCAAAAAGAAGTCGATTCACGAGGTATGTGTCTTGGTTATTCTTGCGGTTGATCTGACGTGTTCTTCCTCTTGTTTAGGACAAGCAGTCTCGTGTTATAGCGCACGATCTGCTGTGCGATCTGTGCAAAAGGGCGAAGAAGAAGTGTGTGTGCAGAGGTCCCGTGGGCGGGCGATGCTCTGGGTGCATCACCGCGAAAAAGCCTTGCTCTCTCTTGGATGGTATGTATCTTGTTTTAAGCGTCCTTGGCTCCCTCACTAACTTCTCGTTCAGCCATGAAACCTGAGGCCTCGTCCTCAAAGTGGTCGGACGTTATTGATCTCGGTGACGACGATGATGACGATCAATACACAGCCGCGGAAGAGCCGACTCCACGCGTACAGCATGTAAGGAGGGGCGGGGCAGTGGTGATTGATCGTGCGGCTGTTCGTGCAGCCCAGGAGCTTCGTGCTTTGGAAGCAAAGGCGAAAGGGTCATCGGCCAAACTGTGGGAGCATGGGGAGCGGCTGCGCATATTGCACGAGTCCTTGTATCCTGGTCTGTAATGTTGCGATCTCTTCTGCTGTAAACAGTTGCGTATTCCTGGCTTTGTTGAATATAACTGCGGCCGTTAGCGCCGATTTGCGATCCCATATCCATATCCAAGTCCACTGAGTGCCTGAAATACGATAAAGAGATCGGTGGTAAGTATAATTGGATAGGAGAAAACATAAAAATTGCATCGGTGCAGGGTGCATGCCCGACTTGTCTTCTTCGATCGGCTTCCACTTCTCGCGGCTTGATCTTGTTCGGCTTAAATACAAGAAGGGGCGCTCTGCTGTAGAGCGCATTCAAAAATAAAAAGTGGTAAGATATCGTTAGTGGGATCAGCACATAAATAGATAAATAAGTGGAATGATGACTTGGGATCTGGGGTGTTGTTATGAATATGTCTGGGTCGGTGTATGGTGGAAGATAATGAGTGATCGCTGGTCGAACCCCGGGGTAAAATATTGAAAGGGAGGGAGTGTCAGTATGATTATTGCTATGTTTGTAGTATATTCTGCGGTTCATTCAGCGGACGGGAGCGGGTTAAGGAGTGTTAGGGTTGGTGTCTTCATCGTCTACTTCTTCCAGTGCTAAGTGGTCAAGTGCGGCGTCTTCTAATCCTGTCATGGTTGTCACTGAAATGCGGGCTTTCGTCTGTGTTTGGTATGGAACGATTCGAAAGGCGGCATATCAAAGGCACAATACTGCTCTGTCCAATTCTGCCAGCAAATAGGAGCCGCCGATCGTTCGTCAGAGAACAACCATTGGTCCCAGATAGCGTGGTTTTGTTTTTCGGTTTAGTTCGGCTTCGACCCTCGAATTGCGCACTAACACTAGACTTCCAGGTGCAAAGTTGTGGTTCGTGATTTTGTGAGTCGCTTCGAAATGCTGGATCGATTTGTACCTAGCCTTTACAACTTTTTCTTCCATAAGCCAAAGGTCGGCCGCGCGCTTTTGTAATTGTCGAGCACACCAAGTGATGAGGTCTGTAGATGTAAACTCGTCTTTATCGGGCAATGGAATGAGGAAGGTTGCTTCGGTGAGGTTGAATGGAAATAATGGTTCGACCCCATGCACTAAGATATAAGGCGACACACTGCATGATTTGAGAATAGTTACCCGTTTGGCCCAAAAGACAGTATGAGCGTTCTTGTACCAATGCTTCTCCTCCCCCTCGGAACTTTTCATGATGGCCTCCCGGACATCAAAATGATGCTGTTCGACTATTCCATTCGCTTGCGAGTTGTACGGCGATATGCGGATGTGTCAAATACCGTATCGATCGGCAAGTTCATTGAGCACTAATATAAATGCTGGTCCATTGTCAGTAATTATCTCGGTTAACGGTCCCCATCTACAGAGAATCTCCTCAAAGACAAATGCGGCTATGGTTGATGCATTTTCAGAGCACAACATGCGCCACTCCGGATAGGAAGACATCACGCAACGCACTTGTACTAGGTATCTGAAACCACCCGCTTTCAGCATTAGCATTGTATCAATATGGGCTTTCCGAAAAAGACCGCCTGGGATTGGCACGGTGGGAGGGATGTGCAATCTGGTTGTTTGTCGCACTTGGCATTCATGACATGTCCTGACATACCATTTGACGTCTTCGGACAACATCGGCCACCAGAACCAAATGAGAAGCCGTGCGCGTACAGAGTAGACTCCTTTGTGGCTGATGTTGTCGTGTGCGTCTTTGATGATCTGGTAGCGTTGATCTCTGCTGATTACGATTTGATGACGGCTGTGCGAATGCTGATGCCAAAGCTTTTTGTCCAGAACGAAATACTTCGTGGCTTGCTTGACGAGCGATTGGAACTCGAGGTCACTAAGAGCACTAGGACGGATTTGAGATTTAAGGAAATTGTGAATGCAATCGATCCGTTCATCATATGCTTTGGCAGCATCAGAGCGAGGGATATTAATGACCAATTCGTCATCCGCGCTTTCTTGGTAGGCTCTGTAGGAAGTGTGCTCTGCGTTAGTCGGCCGTGCACGACTCATTTGAATCGGCCATGCGTGCTCGTTCAATACTTCAATCAAGAATGAGTATGCATTGTCTAACCAATCCTCATGATCGTCGTCTTGGATAGGGTCGGCTTCGGAGCGCAGTCTCCTTGAGAGTCCGTCCGCACCGCTGTGATTCGCTCCAGATACATGAACCAATTTGAAATCAAAAAGAAGAATACCTGCAATCCATCGATTGATAGACGCGTTCAGCTGTAAATCAGGGTTGTTGATCATCCCTTTGATATACTTGGTGTCAACTTCGACCGTCAACCTTTGGACACCGAAGATCCAGACGTGGATGGCTCAAAGTGCCCGGAATAGTCCATATAACTCTAGCTTTGCTTGAGAATAGCGCGATCCGACTTCGTTGAGCGTTATTGATCCAAAGCGGGCGGGGTAGCGTTTCCCATCGTCACCTATTTGCATAAGTATAAAACCGACCGCAATCAGAGAAGTATCGACAGCGAGAATGATTTCGTGGTCTGACTCGTAGTCGATGCAACGTAGAGTGGGCGAATTCACAATTGCTTCCTTCAGAAGCCTCATAGATTCCCGATGTGTGGGGCCGAACTCGAATGGTTGGTCTTTGCGCGTAAGCTGCACGAGTGGCCGAGCAATTCGAGCGAAATCTTTGATGAAGATTCGCAGAACGCCGCAAGTACCTAAAAAACCGCAGACTTGCGTGATGTTCTTTGGTTCGGGCCAATCGCGGATCTTCTGTGTCTTCGACTCTTCTGGGACTCGTCCGTCGATCGTACATTTATACCCGAGTATGATGGCCGTGGGCGCTGCTAGGACGAACTTGGTTGCAGACACGGTTGCTCCTATGTTTTCCAGTCGCTGGAGGACTTGATGGATGACTATGCAGTGTTCCCAAATGAACCGCTGTATCCCTGAGTTTTCTGGAACAGTCTCATATGTCCCGTCTTCCTGTTGGTATCATGTGGTGACCGATTTTATTGGTAAATCGTCAATGAACAGGAGAGTGAACTGCGGAATCTCCGGTTGGAAAACAAATGAAATGTCGGCTTGGAATATCTGTGACGAGTTAGCGAATCCTTGTGGAAGCGTGGTGAGTCAATGAGGGCCGAGGGGTGTTCCGAACGTGGTGAGATCGCATGATTCTGGGTGAAGCGGCCAATGATCATATCCACCATATAAGTCCATCATCCCATATACTGCATATCCCGCGAATGCTTCTGTTAGGTGGTCGGTGAATGGGGGTAATGCTGCGTCTTTAACCGTCACAGCGTTGAGCGGCTGCAAGTCATGGACGAGCCGGAGTGATTTTCCGTCTTTCTTGACAACACAAAACCATCGTGAATGATATGCTGCGTTGGACGGTTCGTATACTCCTCCTGCTATCTTGTCTTTGATAATTTGGACGACTTCATCGAATATTGCGGGTGGAATAGGAATGTTGCGCTGAACCCAAGGTGTATGCAGTACCGTGGCGATCTTGATGGGTGAAAAATATTCTTCTTTGAAGCGGCCGCGTTCGCTGGGGTCCCAAACGAAGGCCTTTTCATGGGTACGAACTAACCAATGAATTAGCTTTAGCTCTTCTGGCCACAACCAATTTGTGGGATCGAGGTCAATCTCATCCACGCGTGCTTGCGTGAAGCACTCCCCTGGTATGAAGTCAGGCAGGTGCATAGGAAGATCGGCCATTCCTGCAAGAGGGTCATCAGGTAATTTACGCTTGATGTAATAATCCTCTGTGATTGACTCTGATACAGTACGGACTTTCCGCACAACAGGCTTGTAGATGAGCATCCTTGAGGCAGGATTGAACTGATAGCTGGACTGAAAAGTGGCAATGGATGCGCGGTTGAAGCAAGTCTGAGAAGAAACGAGAAACGTATAGACAGGGGAGAAATTAGTAGGGGGTGAAGAATAGGAAAATGTCTGGGCGATTTGAAAGGACTGTTGACCCCTTGAGGGTCGGTCAGAAAGTGAAGAGCGTCCATAATCCGATGTACATGAATGAGATTCGTCTCCCCGATTGCGCAGATCATCGATTGTCAAAAACCCAATCCCAAGATTTCGCAGTGATTCACGCAATGTAAATTGCACAAACAGCGCGGACAAACCTTCAACCAATGTTTTGTTGCGATCATGATCTCCTTCCCCGTGTTTGGATCCGATATCATGACATTCTGTTCCCCATTAATGAAATCTTGCTGCGGCAGCTCATGTGTGCGTAGAATAGCCAACCTAAAAGGACTTGAAAGTTAGCTTTCTCGACTACCTGTACTTGTAGGTGGACTTCTCCCGCCCCGAAATTGAATCCTAGATTCTCGATGATGCCAAGCGTCGAGTCTTTACTTCAGTTGGCGGATTCCATGGTCATAATATGATCAGACCGCAGCAGTACACTGAGTGATAGCCAGATGTCCTTGCGCATCACGATGATCTCTGCACCTTGGTCGAGCACGCACGTGATCTTTTGGCCTTGTACCATTGCTTCAATACACCTAAGGGGAATGGACTGGTGAACGGTTATAGTCCCGTCTTCTGAGCGGTTAAGCGTGTGCTCATATTCGCCCCATAAGCGTTCGGGGTTCATGCCCGCTAACTCATTAACAGAAAGAGTTCCTACCGCGACCCGTCAGGTCGTCGTCTGATCCTTAAATTGCTTCCGAAGCTCTGGTGCGATCGACAGGATATCTTGAATGGGTATTGGCACTGTCGTCTGCATGACACTGTCTAGGACGCGCTTTCTTGCAGTCGGGTCTTCAAGCAGAAAGTAATGCGAATATTGCGCGTTTGGGGCGGCTGTTATCCTTGGTACCTGTGTGACATGCGGCTTTGCTTGTTCATTAGCGTCCTTCACTTGCGGGGATACTATTTCATCAAATGACTTTGAGTTGCTTGCAGGCACACTAGTGTTAGGCGAGGCAGGGGTTTTGAAGTGAACCATGGTGACATCTGGGTCTTCTTCACCTTTGTCTTCATTCGTAGTCTGTGTCTGCAGGAAGGCGGAAGATTCTATGTCGAGTTCGATGTCAATTTCTGGCCCTGAACAAACGAATAGCCCTGCTACTGCATGCGATGATACCTCGCGTAGACGGCGTTCCGTCACAATGATGTCTACTTGGTCTTTCATCGTCGTTCCTGAAACTGTGGGGATTCTCGATCCGTCAGCCAACACGACCCGACCTTCACTAGTCTGAGCGACTTTTCCTGATGCCATATATGTGTCTATATCCCTACACATTTTAGTCGTGTGACCAGTGCGGCCGCAGAAATAGCAGATTGGTGGTGGTCGTGATTCGCTTAGGACGTATTCTTGTTTAACAACAATGCTGGGCGATGCGGGTGGAGGCGTGGACGGCGCAAAGGTACGTTGTACTGGTTGGGCAGCTGGGTTCGGTGAAGGCGATATGGATTGCGCTTGGAGCGGCGTCGATCCTTGAAGAAGAAAGAGCGCCGCTTCCAACACAGATGCTTGAGTATATGCATCGTCAGGGTGTAGGTCGGGCTCCTTAATCTCCAATCGACGTCGGATGCGGGTTTGAATGTCAGGATGGAATCCTTCCAAAAACAAACGGTCGTGCTCGTTCTCTGCAAGGCATTTCTTTTTGATCAAAAAGGTAGAGACGCGGCAGAACTGCCGCAAATACGCTCCCACATCATCCTGCAACTGCATAGGCTTGGCCGTTTGTGCGTTTACCAAGAACTCAAGGTCAGCTCTCATATACTGTTTGTCACTTTCACAACCCGGATACAGGGTTTTGACCGCGTCAACAAATTTGTCAAAGTCGGCCTTGCCTGTTTCTTCTAACGTTTCCCAAGTTCCTGCATCGTCTCTGTGGATGTAACGGAGACATGCTTTGATCGCTTGTGCTGGAGTAAGGTTCGCGGCGTTGGCAAGTTGACTGACATCTTCAAAGTACCGAATTAGGTCTCGTGCACTTCCATCAAATTTAGGGGCGCTTGGAGTTCCACGAAGCGGCATTTGGAATGAGTGGGTCGACATTCGAGCGGGTTTAATGGGAAGAGGCGCGGGTGGTATGAAGAAATTGGGTGGTTGTTGTATGAAGAACGGTGGAGGAAAACTAGGAAGATGTATGTACGCCGGTTGGGGTTCAATGATATCAGGCAATTCGTCTTGAGTACTTGGCGTGAGTGCGAGGTCGACTGATGAGGCTGAGGGACTATTGGGAGGTGAATGTTGAGACGTTTCGACTACTGGAGTGGGTTCTGTGCGGCGAGCGCGGGTTCATGGAATATCTTCGAGCTGACTATGTATCTGAGTGACTACCGGGCGGCCAGGTCTTGGATGAAGTTGTCTTGCGGTGGGCAATGGTGAACCCCTCACGGTGGGCTCCAGTTGTAAGGAGCAGATTCCACTACGACCTCAGCGCAATAATGGCCAATTCAAGTAGTGAGCCTAAAATGTTCAGTTCGACCCGAGGGAAGCAGAACAAAGCAAACCGAATTGCTGCCTCAGTATATAATACGAGGGGCGCGACAACGAGTCAAAGGGCGGCTGATCCAATATGTGTTCAGCATAAACAGTTACCCATAAAGCCGACCGACTATAATTTCTACCGATCGCTATGCGGTGCGCGAGCGAGTGCAGCCGACTTAGATAGGTGATGAGGAACAGAAGTTTTTTTTTTTTAAGACGAACGTGCGGATGGACACGAGAATAGGATCAGAAGAGAACGGAACACAAAAGACATGGCTTCTGAGTGAGAATTAACTGAATTGCAATAACGGGCGAGCGCTCCTTAAGTACAAAATCGGCTACTAGGTAAAAAATGGAGATAATCATCGCTTGGGATGTCTGGGCTGCCTCGTGGTTTGCTAGAAATGTATGTGGGACATGCGGTCGATCGTCCGTGATATGCACAGGGATATGTGAGAGTAAATCGGTCTGAGCCGCTTAAGGCGATGTAATAGGGAGTTTGAGAGGTAAAAGTACTGTATCTGTCAAATAAACCAAAGAAGAATATACTACGCACCAATGGACAAGGATTTTATGGATATGGGGTTCGACTGAGTATCTGTGAGCTAGAAAGGCAAAACACGCGCACGACCGACCAATGGTGCGCGTTAATTCATTGTCGGCCGATCTGCTTGTGTGAGCGGCTTGAACACGCATGGGCGGGAGTTCAATCAGCAAGGAGTCGGATAGAGCGCGTGGGGTCGGGTGAATATTGCAGTGGATCGGTACATCAAGGGAGTACCATGTCGGTGCCAATCCGTGTCCTACACCGGCCATGCATGCGGGTGACAGATCATCCATGCGTGCATGAGCAAGCGTTGGATGGGAGACAGATACCCACGGATGGGTTTAGGATGGGTCGGATGGATGTGGGATATTATCTGGTTTTGTCAGTAGGTATCATGTAAGTAAATCAGTCAGCAAAGGTAAGGGCTATGTATGAAGCATGTGGAAAGTCTATTAGTAAGTGTAACGGATCAAAGCAGTGAAGTCAGAAATGAAGTAAGAATGGACGGATCAGTAAGCATAGCGGAAAAGGACATAACTGGTAACCGGAGCAATAGCTAATCTAAAAGGAGTTAGGGGTGAGTGCGGAGATGAAGGCGGAGCGCCAGGCAAAATAACAGGACGGAGGACCGGACTTTAGTGGTGGGGTTCCGGAATTCTGGATCCGGAGGTATGGGATATGACAGTTCACGAAGTTCATGATTGGAAAGATCACGCCCGATTAACAACAGGTCAAAGCCTCCGCATGCTCAGAAAGTATCTGAGCAGACAGGCCTACCGATTCTATGAGTGCAACATACTTGACCTAGAGAAATTGTACTCACTTACCGAGTTCTTCAAACAGCTATTTCACTATGTGTTTCCCCCTGACTTTAGGATGCAACAACACCAGAAATTTATTGAGTGCTGTCAGGAGAACAAACAGAGCGTAGGTGATTATTTGAGACGTCTCAGAATGCTCGCTGATATGGCTGGAGATGTAGATGAACGCAAGATGGTGAGACAGTTCTGGATGAACTGTCTCCCCTACTTAAAAGCCTCCTTAGTTGACAAAGGCTACGAACCAAACATGGTAAGCCTTGAAATGATCGAAAAGAAAGCATTGCGCACCAAGAGAGCATTCCTCAAAAACACCAAGGATCCGAACATCCTGCTGGCCATCAACCCGACCTTAGCTGCAGGATATGCCCAGAATAACAGCTGGAACGATCGTAGAGAATCATCACATGGTAATAGACTTGACAGACAACCCTGGACCCAATCCATTTCAGCTAACACTATTCATCATTGAGGACCTTGTGACCCACGAGGGCATAGTCACCCTCGCCCGGGAGCTCCCCTCTCTAGAGCCCCTGGGAGCCCAGAGAGACCCAAGAAGACTCCTGAGCACCTCAAACGACTTCATGACCTTAACCAGTGATTTGAGTGCGAACAATCAGGACACTTAGCTAAAGACTGCCTGAAATGCCACCATCTGACATTCAAACCTCCTGGACGCAATACCCCCGCCATCCGAGCGAACATGGTGACCATCTCTAGCGCTGACATCAGATCTGCTGCCATCGAAGAAGGTATCACCTCTGGACTGTATGGAATGGCGGTGGGGTTAGAAGAGTTATCTGAACTAAACACGGAAAAACACTGTATTGTCAAACAGCAGATCCTTGCCACTCTCCTACTAGCTGTCCAACTGCCAACCGATGAGCTAATTGACCCTCTGTATGACCCTTTTGTGTTAGACAGGTTTTGTCTCTCTAACCATGGCGGTCCAGACACCTACCTCCTCTCAGATTGTCACAATTATGACAACTATATCATGCACTTTAGCCAATTATGCGACCCAGAGTTTGATGCAGTTGCATGGCTAGTTGATCTGAAGCTTCGGAACTTCAAAGACCTAATTCACACTAAGACGTCCTTCAAACTGTCCTGGACTGAAACACCCTCCTCTCCACTGACAATGACCACATTATCGACTGACCACCCATCTGTCGACATCACAGTTGTCTCACTGTCAAGTCAACACAAGTACAGTGATCAAAGACTCCTATTGCCTTTGACCCAGGATGAAGACGATGATTTACCCCCTTTGTTGGATTGTGAGACGTCAGAGGACGAAGAATACACTAATACTAACTCTCTATACTGTGTGAGCAGCAGTAGGCATGCTGACCTTTCGGATTTAAGAACCCTTCAGCAACAAGCTGCTAGACCGAAATCCTCTTCAAGGATCCTCCCTCGGTCCATAGTAATTATAGTGCTTGTGAACAGCAAGCCCTGCAGAGCCCTCCTAGATTCAGGCTCATTAACAGACTTCCTCTCGACCACAATCATTGACCAACTCAAACTCCAATACTCCATCTTAGAGAAACCCATACCCCTGCAATTAGCCATCTCGGGATCTAGGAGCATTGTTAAAGCTAATACCACCATTGAGTTATCTTATTAAGAAATCAACTGCGAATGTACCTTCGACATCGCCAACCTCGATTCCTACGAT